ATTTGTAGAGCTTTCAGGGTATGAAAAACAGGAAGAGCAATCGCCACAACTGTAGGGTTCTGTTAAGGCATGAATCATAAACCAGATCAACAGGTACAGCGAAGGGCTTGTCAGCTGAACAGTTGTCTCTACAAAAAGACAACTGGTTGGTCAGAAAGAAATGTGAATGATCTCCCCCCATCTCAACCTTCTTCCACATGAAGCCTAACCTCTCTAGGCATCCCTAAAAGGGTTCTCCAGTTTGTTTGGATTCCCGGTCCCTCCCTCCCTAGCTCACCCTTGCAGGGAGAATGAAGCCTGCCATTTTGCCTTTTCTACTGTTTATTTTGTTAAGACTCTTAAACCTGTCAGCGAAGCGGTTTCTAGCCTAGTCTGTGTGGTAATAATCTCCCTTTCTAAGAGATAAGCACCCTGAGTAAGGCATATTGGAAGACAAACTAACACACCAAAATTGCTGAGTACACACAGCTCTTTGAAGATGCCTCACCACTCAGGCTTTATTAACTTCAGAGAAAAAGAAAAAAAAAATCTGGCTTGAAGGTTTCAGAAACTCATTTAGAAATTACTAGAAACTGCTTGGAGAAAAATGCCAATACATGTTAGTGTGCCCAAGTCAAACGTACACTTCTTGCTGCAGAGGAGCAGATGGAAAAAGACAAGAAGGGAGAGCCTACTGGAGACTTACAGAGGAAAGGAACTTTCTGGCAAGGCTAAAGTTTACTCAGATGTCCCAATTTCTAACATGTATACCAAACTTCTACCTTTCGGACAGGAAGATATGAATTTTACTGCCCGAAAATTAAACAAAACACTCAGATGAAAATGTCACGTTTTTATTTTCTAAAGTCAAATTAACTCCTATGCTCCAGGATAGGTCATTTAATCTTATCGTTCAGAAGGAACTCCCTATCAAAGATAATGCGCAAGATCTCTGTGATAGGGATCTTGTCATCAGTCCATGGCCTGTTCAGCAGCCATATATATCATGCTTCCTCTTTGTTGACAGAACCCAAATTTTATACCAGGGTTGGACAATAATATACTCAAGGAAGTGGACCCTTCCCCAAACCCAGGTGAATGGAAAGTAATTAGTTTAAGTCTATCCCAGCAGAACTACTCCCCCTCCCTATTTATATAGTGTGGGATGGGCAGGTGACAGTGAATTCTATGATCTTCAGGGGAACAGTTTCCACCTAAATCAAAATAAAGGCATGTAAAGCAAAGCTCCATTCTGTCTTCCCTTTGAACCTGTCCACGTGAAGCATGGTGTGTGGATCTACAGCAGTCATCTTATTCTCCTGAGAGAGGAGCAAGAGCATCACCAAGCCAGTTGGTCCTCAGAATTACCATGTCATTGATTCTGCCTACCTCGAAAACTCTTGACATATGCAATAATAAAACTCTTTTCCAAAACTGGATTCTGTTCCCAATTCATTCACTCAGAGAGAAACCAGGGCCTTAGGCAGTGAAGAGGACAGGCTTTAAAATGATACCTGAAATTCAAAGTAATGTCTAAAGGATTCAGTTCACCTCTCCAGTGCCTGTACCAACTCTACTCCTTTCAGGATCTACACAAAACTGTTACTGATGCATCTGCAGTGCTCCCTTGTTCTAGCACAAAACATCTGCCCTCCAAGGACTTGTTGAGTGGCCCAGAACTTTTTGTAGAAAATTGAATAAATTGCCTATTTATCTTGAAAAACTAGCCAGTGAGTGAACTGAAGGGAGGCCAAAAGACCTGTACAGGTGGATCATAGGGTGAAGATTCTATCCCTCCAGAAGTTTTCTCACGCTACAGCTTGGTTGTACACAGCCCAAGGACCTTTCTAGTTCTTCAAAATGCTGTTTTTAGAAGTGGAGTTTTCAAATGTCAATAAGTATAACATTCACAATAGCCAAACTGTGGAAGGAGCCTCGGTGTGTCCATCGAAAGATGAATGGATAAAGAAGATGTGGTTTATGTATACAATGGAATATTACTCAGCCATTAGAAATGACAAATACCCACCATTTGCTTCAACGTGGATGGAACTGGAGGGTATTATGCTGAGTGAAGTAAGTCAATCGGAGAAGGACAAACAGTGTATGTTGTCATTCATTTGGGGAATATAAATAATAGTGAAAGGGAATATAAGGGAAGGGAGAAGAAATGTGTGGGAAATATCAGAAAGGGAGACAGAACATAAAGACTCCTAACTCTGGGAAACGAACTAGGGGTGATAGAAGGGGAGGAGGGCGGGGGGTGGGGGTGAATGGGTGACGGGCACTGATGGGGGCACTTGACGGGATGAGCACTGGCTGTTATTCTCTATGTTGGTAAGTTGAACACCAATAAAAAATAAATTTATTATTTAAAAAAATAATAAAAAATAAAGGGTTTAAAAAAATAAGCATAACATTCTCCCAAATTGTGTGTGTGTTTGTGTGTGTGTATGTGTGTGTGTGTGGTTGTATTGTTTTGTTTATTTGTTTTTAGCATATTTCTGGAGCCAAACTTCTTGCAGTTCCAATTTCTCAGGCCTGGGCAACCTCCTTTGGACTAAGCCCAGGTGATTCCGACATAGAGAGTTCACAGTTCACATAGAGAGATGCACTGCTGTGGACTCAGAGCTGGGCACTTCATCTCTCGAAAAGCAGCTTCCATCTTCTTCTAAGTAGTCTGGTCTAGTGTTCTCTAGATGTTTTTGGCTGCTTTATAAACCTTGTCTCACATTTCACAGTTCTCCCAGCCTGGCAGGGAATGACCTAGGGGAGCGCCTCTATGCAAATGAATAGCTTGCCTTATCCGGTCCTCAGAAGTTCCCTTTTCAATGACAACCACTCTAAAGTTGGTTACAGACCAGGGTCTGCATTAGAGGCCCAGCTGGGCAAGTACCTCTAAGTAAACAGAATGGGTCACATGATTTATTGGGTGATGAGTGTTTGCTGGAAGGCATGCGGTGTGAGGTTACTGCCCAGTCAGAGGAAGAGGAGAGGGGGAATAAAAACCAGAAAACTCCTACTTGCTTTTGTTTTTAAGGGAAATTCCCCTCCCGTGTGTATACTCCCTAGGAGATTCTTTCTGAACCAGTGCCTGCAGGCCAAGAGTGGCCTGCAAGCCAAGAGTGTTTGATGTGGTGGCTGAGCTAAACTAGACAGGGTACTCTGGTAACCCACTGGTCAGGTAGTCATCCATGAGTGGCAGCTCCCTGGTCAGTGGGGAGTCTGCTTCCCCCTCTCCCTCTGCTCCTTCACCTACTCATGCTTTCTCTCTCTCTCTTTCTCTCTTAAATAAATAAATGCAATCTTAAAAAAAATAAAATAAAAAGATGGTCACTTTTCATTTATAATGAGAGAAAAACAGAGAAGCAAAAATTGCACAAACTGGAAGGAAGTATAAAGGGGGCTTCTGGGCTATAGATTCTGTGTGTTTCTTGAAATGGGTGTTCATTATAGAGTGTGTTTAATTTGTGAAGATTTATTGAGCTGGACACTTTCATTAAATATATTTTTATTAGTATATGATAAATTAATTAAAAATTTTTAAAATTACATAGGGATTCTATTTTTTACCTAATAAAGATAAAAATGTTTGATAACACATGTTGACAAGATACAGAGAAACAGACATGTTCACATATTGTTAACAGAAATATAAAATGATAAGTGTCTCTGGAGGGCAAATAGGCAATATCCATCAAATATGCAAATTCAACTTGTAAAATTTATCCTACTCACCCTGCACATAATGATATGGATACAACGTCATTCTCTATAATAATGTTTATAATAGCAAAGGATTAGTAACAACCTAGATGTCCACTTTAGGAAACATGTTAAATAAATCAGTGTACACCTATAAAATAGAATATTATCAATTATAAAGGACGGATTAGAAATCTTAATGTACTACAACCGAATACTCTCCAAAGTATACTGTTGCATCAAAGGAAAAGTATGTGCAGTAATTCTATCATTTGAATAAATAAGGGGGTAATTAACTACATTCATGCTGACATATAAATAAACCATCTTTGTAAAAATATGAAAGAAAATGGTAACATGACTTCCAGGTAGGAGAACTGGGCAGATGGGAGACAGAAAGAGACTTTTGATGTATTCTTTTTGTACCGTTTGAATTGTGAATTATATGAAGGTATGAGCTAGAAAAAATAAATAACATTAAAAATTCCAAGCATGTATTTTCTGCTGTATGTAATATACTGATTTAAATTGTTACTTGGACTCCACTTCCATAGTTTCTTTCTCTTTCACCTTTTCAGTTTTAAGCTAACCTATCAAATCAATTACTTCTCCTTGGGGAACAGGGAAAATTCAACTACATCAGATCTACACACTGATTATTAGAAGACCCATTTTGACTTCAGAAATGTTCAGATGGGAAAAGCACATACCATCCAGGAATGAGGAAGCTGATTAAACTGCTTTGCTAAATACTCACTTACCAGGCCCTAGACTATGAACTATGATCAAAAGGCAATCATTGACATTTTTTTCATGTTCAAAAGTGCAGCCATTCCCAAAAACATTAGGAAATACCTAATGAGAATGAGTTCTAGCAAGGGAAATTTATCTGGAGATGATGCTAAATCACCAAGGAAGAGTGAGAGTTGACTCCAGAGGGAAGGAACTGCCAGAAAGCTAAATGCAGAGGGGACCTCAAATGTCCCACTTTGGCTGAAGGCCAGCCCTAAGGAAGCCACTCCCAAAAATAGGACTAAAGGAACCATTCTAGGGCCTTGATGGTTTAGAGGAGTTCCTTTCCTCTCAGTTTAGAGTTAACCCTGCAGAAGCATTTCAAAGAACAACTTCCACCAATGAACTCCACCCTTGGCTGTACATTATTTTCTAATCAGTGGCTGATGAAAGGCACAGCACTTTACTCATGTTGAAATCGCTGCAGAGTAGGATATATACAAGCCACTCCTGATTGGATGTATTCCAGTCCAGCATGTAGAATAGTGCTTGCACCATCTTTCAGGAGGTCAGAAGAATCTTACCTGGGGAATAATAAAACCTTGGCTGCTCTCAGGTCCCTCCTGGTGCTGGCAGCAATATAGGCTGGTTACGGCACCTCCTTTGCTGGCCAGTTGAACTCCAAGGCTCAGCTGCGAGTCAGAAGGACCACAGATACTGGCCTTACCCTATACAAGGAAGGTTCTTGTGAGTAAGACATGACCATGTCTTGCAAAGTAAAAACACAGCACCACTCAAATTTAGAGCCTTGTTTTGTGGGATTTCTCTTTGTTCTGTGAAAGGATTTCAATCTAAAATGGAACCAGAGGATATGAAACGGAGAATCTCATGTATGTGCCCTTAGAAGAATAGAATGTAAGATCTAAGAAACTGATTTCACATAAATGCCTGCTTTACAGAAGACAGAGACTAACTTCTGACCAATGAGACATTATCTGCCGAGAATGTCTCCCTATCTCAAGCCAATGAACTTACTGCTTGAACTCTGACTAGACTTCTCCCTTTTTGCACTCCTTGGCCATAAATACAGCTTGCCTCAAGCTCTCTGCAGATTTACCTGCAGTTTTCTACAGAATATTTTCCAAAGTGCGCTTCTACTGCTATTCCCAAATAAATTCAATTTCTGGTCATTTGAGCTTGCCTCAGTTTACCTTAAGTTGACATACCATCTCCTGTTTGTTACAGGGACACTAAATCAACACTTTTGGATTTGGATTTTGTTTCCCTTCTGTTAGGGGCTGGTCATTGGGAAAGTCTCCTTCAAAAGATGACAATAGGGATCCCTGGGTGGCGCAGCGGTTTGGCGCCTGCCTTTGGCCCAGGGCGCGATCCTGGAGACCTGGGATCGAATCCCACGTCGGGCTCCCGGTGCATGGAGCCTGCTTCTCCCTCTGCCTATGTCTGTGCCTTGTCTCTGCCTCTCTCTCTCTGTATGACTATCATAAAGAAATAATTTTAAAAAAATTTAAAAAAAAGAAACAAAAAGATGACAATAAAATATTTTTACTTTCTTAGATGACTAGAAGAAACCTCAAACATGACTCCTGGTCTATCTCTTAACCCTCAAAGAGATGGGCTCTACTTGAACTTTAAAAACCTCTAAGGATGCAGTTTCCAAAATTTCATAAATTCCACTAGAAGTTTATTTAATAAATAATTAATCACCCTTATGTTAATCAAGAAGGTTTTCATGTTCTAGAACTTTCTGGATTGTGAAGATAGAGAGTCACTGAACATTTTCCTAGAACTATCTCGCTAAATTCTGGAACTGGGGGCTAAGATCTGACCAGTCATCTTAATCTGAACTATTCATTTTATGAGCAAGCAAAGTGAGGCTCAGAGCAGAAGGACAAAGACGACCCAGGTCTAGAACCTGGGTTTCCTGAGTCCCACTCAGTCCAGCACTTTTAGTTACAACTATGCTAGGGTGTTTCTTACACATAAAAAGCTGTTAAGTCCCTACTCTCTTCTCCAGGCTAAAAACTTTTATTCCCTAAACTCTTGTAATACTTTTTTTCTCATCAGTATCACTTTGTAAGTAGCAGTTACATATAGCTATCCCACTAGCTTTTGGTCTACTATGACTATCATTTTCTGCTATTCTCCCTTGCTTCCTGAATAGGCTCTTACTTCCTTATTTCTGGGTAGTATGTTTATTCTCTCCTCCATTGTACTATCTCCTGTGTCTCACTAATGAGCCTCATCCTGTTTTTGACAGACCATTCTGTTTTGACAAGGTATAAAATTGATCAGTGAATTAAACACATGTGGAACATCTTTAAATACAAACTCACAGCAGGGGAAGATTTGAATGCTGTCCATTTCCTTGTAGATAATAACTTGGAAGGCGATTTTCATAGCCAGATGAATTCTGAATGGAGAGCTCTGTTTAAACTTTGTGTTCCATAAATAGAAACAAAGTGCAGACATCCTGCCTCTTGACTTCTTCAGTCATTTAAAGCTTTCAGAAGTACGTTTTTGTTTTCTTGATTCTTTTCGTCTGCACATTAGACTGTAGCCAAGGAATGTCCACACCATACCGAGGGCTGGAATAATCTCTTACCTCCCTCCTGCATGCAGATCCCCTAATGATACTGAAGTCAACCTTTCACTGCCTTTTGAAGCTGAGCCAGGTGAACCTTTCATTCCTGTCACCCACATAATCACAGATTTTATAGCTTAACCCCAAAGTGAAATATTCTATTCATCCAAATGGACATTCTGTATGAGCCAGGGTAGGAATTCAGGTGATTCAAGATTCTGAAATTGTATTATTAAGTTCGACTCATAAATTTTCAGAAAGGCTTTAATATTTTCAAATTTGGGATTGATGGTTAGGGATCCTTAGAAAGCTCCAGCATCCATGGGTAGATTCAGGGACTGTATTAATCAGGATGGGCTAAATAATGCTATGGTAACAAACAATTCCAAATACCTCAATGGCTGAAAACAACAAAGGCTTATTTTTTTCTCATGTCACACAATAATCCAAGGTAGGCTGCAGACTTAACTGCTGTACCACTGTCATCCTCATTCCTGGACCTGGTGAAGAAGCCACTATAAAGAACATTGCTGGCTTTAGTGCAGAAAGAAAAGAAAGCACTGCTCTTAAATCCTTAACCCAGAAATGCCACTCAGAACTTCTTCTCACATTTGATTAGCCCATGCCTGATTTAAATGGGTGAAGAAGTGTAATCCTCCTGCAAGGAAAACTGTATTAGAGAACTGTTTACTGAAGGGTCCATGAATCTTTGAAATTATATGCAAAATTACATGTGAATAGGCATAGATGCTTATTTCTGGAGAGTAGCTCTACAGTTTTCATCCTATTCTGACAAGGAGACTTTGACCACCAGCCCTCACCAGCGCCTACCCCCACCCCACGCCATCACCACCAAAGTTAAGAACAAGTGTCGTAGTCCAAACTTCTCGTTTTACAGATGGAAGAACTTGAAAGCTTATCTTTCAACAACTTGCCAAAAAACCAAAACAACTTCCTTGAACTTGCCAAAATAACATTTAATTGGGAGCACAACCAGCCCCTAAGACTGCATTAGGGAGAGGCCACAATTCCAGGCACAGCAAAAGGCTCCAGCTTCTGCTTAACCAGCTTTTTGCATCCAAAGTTAATTTAGGGAGGAAGAAAGAGGTCATGGGAAGGGGCTTCATTTCCTGTAGGTTTCAAATCCCAAATGGAAGTTGGAAACTGGTAGAGGATCCTCCTTGGAAACTTCTGAAAAATAACTCAGTTGAAAATATTTCAATGCCAAGAAAAACGTGACCCCTGGTCCTTCTCCCACACTGTTTGTCTTTCCCTTTAGCCCTCTTTCCTCTTGTCAGGTAACCTGGGCACCCATCGTATCCTTCCAGCTTCCTCAAATGAGTTTCCCACTAGGGCCCAACAAAAGGCATTATCCTGGAAGAACTGGTTTTCTCATCTCTTTTCATAACTCCATTTCCTTTTCGGAAGACCATGTGTTTTCCTTAATTCATTTCAACTCACCATCCTGTTACCTCCCTTTTTACTTTACCCCACTTCATCTCAGGATGGAACATCACTTAGCTTCCCAACCAGCATGGCAATGTTTTATTTCAGCTGTTAAAAGAAACTTATTGGGGATCTCCTCTGAATCTCTAGGCATAAAGACCATTACTAAGATGTATGAGATAACTTGGCAATTTAACTATCTTTTCAATCTTTTTTTCTCTTCCTCTTCACATAATTTAATATTTTCTCATTTTCCCCATTTCCCCCTTTCTGGGGTTCAGTTTGTGTCAGGTTGTGGTAAGGGAGCAGGAAAATCAGCTTTTGTATGAAACCTAGAAATTACTGAATATCAGGATGGGAGGAAAATTTTAAATGAGATTAAGAATTATGTGAGAGGTAATTTCAGGAGGACTAAAATCCAGGGGTACCTGCCCAGGTTTTGCAGAGCCTGAAGAATATGGAGGCTTCCAATAAGAAAAATAATTTTGAATTGCAGCTAGTTTTCTAAGTAAATGTTTATTTAGAAGTGAATTCAATTACAAGTGAATATTTATTTAGAACTCCCCAACCTCACCCCCACCTCAACCTCTACAAAAAGACAGTTATAAGAGAGGGGATATTAGAGTTAGAAACAGAAGCTATATCAGCCAATTAAAGTAGAAACATCTCACATTAAGATATCTTGCAAAACATACAAACATGGGAGCACATTAGTAGGGCAACCTCCCAAAGCTTTGGAAGGGGCCTCAGGAAAGGTACATTGCCTCTGAGAATCAAAATTCCTTAGAGACCCACTCAGCCAGAATATCTGAAATGTGAGTCAAATCAAGGAACCAGTAATCAGGCAGCCTGGGTGGCTCAGTGGTTTAGCGCTGCCTTCAGCCCAGGGCCTGATCCTGGAGATCCGGGATCGAGTCCCACGTTGGGCTCCCTGCATGGAGCCTGCTTCTCCCTCTGCCTATATCTCTTCTCTGCCTCTCTCTCTCATTCTCTCTCTCTCTGTGTGTGTGTATCTCTCATGAGTAAATAAAATCTTAAAAAAAAAGGAACAGTAATCAGTAGCTCAAGTCTGAAGGAAGGTCTATACATATACATTTTAAGAAAGGCCCTACGAATTTTTCTAGACCTCAACCTCTAAAAAAAAGTTTACTGTTTATGGTTTAATACTCTGGACTTCTAAGGATTTACTTTTTGACAAGAGATAACCCAGCTGAATAGAATCCTCTCCAAAGAGGTGATTTTAGGTATCACCAATATTGAAGGAGTCTTTTTCAGAGTTCTTCCAGTCACACTATGGCACCCTGGAGATAGGATGAGGAGGGTTAATGAGGCTCTGAGTACAGAGTCTTGGATAGCCATTAGATAAATTAAGAGCATGGAACCCTCTGTTGGGGGTGGGGAGGAAAAAAGGACAAATTCCATTCTTTGCCTGCTGGTTGATGAATGGCCCTGAAAACATTTTACAGATGCTTCCTTCTCATTCCGTATTTTGATCTATTCTACTCTGAATCATTACGTGGATCTTCCCATTCATAAGGTTAGACAAAGGGATGTCCTCTCCTTTCTCTAAAAGAATGGGTGAGAGTAGGAAGGATCTTAGAAGAATCTAATTCAGTGAAAATGGTATAAAGAAGGAAAAAATAATAACTCCTTTAAGCCAGCAAGGAGAAATATTAAAAA